TCTGCCCTCACCGCATTTTAAGCTAGGTTGCCTCCTGTCCTCTCAAACCATGATAGTTTATTCCAAACATCAAGCCAACTACAAGAGAAATATCTTCTACAGATAGGACCTTGAAGAGATGAATTAATTTGTGGATGCTCCAAGAAGCAACGGATGGAAACTACTCAAGGAGAGCAGCAACCTAGAAATAAGGAGAAACTTCCTAACAATGAGGACAATTAATCAGTGGAACTGCTTGCCACCAGAAGTCGTGGGTGCTCCAACAGTTGAGGTTTTCAAGAAGAGAATGGACAAGCATTTATCTGGAATGGTATAGGGTCTCCTGCCTAAGCATGAGGTTGGACTAGAAGACCTCCAAGGTCCCTTCTAACCCCGTTATTATTCTATGTTCTAACTGCTTTAATTAAAGAAAAGAATTTATCCTGTTTTGTTTCTACTTGGAAACCACTTCTGGACTCAAAACAACCATTAAAAAAAATAAACTTTGATTTTTGATGATTCTATCAATTTGTTATATAAACAGCTCATGCTTACAAAATACGTAAAAAGTTGAGATTGTAATTGCATTTTCTATCAATAAAAGGAGAATATTTGTAGCTCAGGGTTGAACTGTGAGGTCCTTGGTGCTCTCTCAGCCTGGGTTTTTTTTTTTGCAGACGTTTCGTTACCCAACTAGGTAACATTTATTTATTTATTGTTTATTTATTTATTGGTTTGATTTATATGCTGCCCTTCTCCGGAGACTCAGGGTGGCTTACAATGCTTTTAAGCAACAGCCTTCATACTTTTGTATATACCTGCTTAGTAGGGCTTTTTGACCCCCCCCCAGCGGTGTTCTTTTTTATACAAAGTCAGCTTATTGCCCCCACAATCCGGGTCCTCATTTTACCTACCTTGGAAGGATGGAAGGCTGAGTCTACCTTGAGCCTAGTGAGATTCGAACTCGCAGTAATTGCAGGCAGCTGGTGCTACTTAACAGCACTTTAGTCTGCTGCGCCACCAAGGCCAAACATCATCAGGGCTAGTGTATTTTGTATTCTTCTGCACCAAAAAAAAAGTTGGAAGTCACTGCTATTTTCCCCCCTCTTACTTTGCACCCCCCTTATATATATATATGTGTGTGTGTGTGTGTGTGTGTGTATACATATACATACATACATACATATATATATATATATATATGTTTTCTCAGGTTTTCGCGGGTGTTTGTATGTAGGTCTTTGGTTATTCGGGTCTTCTCCCACGTAAAATTGGCGTAGTTTATTGTCATTGTACGTATATACACAGTATACCCAAACAACGAAATTCACACAACACTCAGAGACCAAGCCCAACACACATGACAATCCCCAGACACAATCCCACCCACCAAAAATTCCCCATCCCTAAACTCTAAAAATGGTAAATACATACCACTGTACATAAATGGTGAGGAAGTGGAGATGGTTAGTAAGTTTTCAATTTCTGGGCTTTTCCTTCTTTTCCCTTATTCCCAGATTATCCTCGTTTCCATTTGTATTGTATCTGCGCACTTTCTGCCGTGCTCTTAAGATTCTCCTATTCCAGCAAGCCGGCCTGGCCTAATTTTCTCCCCTGTTTTAAAATTCTTTTAAATCAAAATTTTAATCTGTTTTAAATTATTGGGATTTTTTTAATTGTCTCGGGCTAAATTATTTAATCTGGTTTTAATTATGTCTTTTAACTTTTGTATTTATGTATTTTATTTTGTGCCTGTTCACCGCCCTGAGTCCTTCGGGAGTAGGGCGGTATATAAATCTAAACTAAACTATTTTATATTATAATAAACTTCAATAAAATTTGGGGGGAAAAGAAGAAACAACTCACCTACGGTATGTCATTTTTCTGGGGTCGTGAGGAGTTTTTCCTCCAGCACAAAACAAATCAGCAGAGACACTGGATTTTTTTACAGAATTACACAATGACACAGTTGGAAGGGACCTTGGAGGTCTTCTAGTCCAACCCCCTGCTCAAATAGGAGACCCTATACCATTTCAGAGAAATGGCTGTCCAGCCTCTTCTTAAAAACCGCCAGTGATGGAGCACACACAATTTCTGGTGGCAAGTAGTTCCACTGGTTAATTGTCCTCACTGTCAGGAAATTCCTCCTTAGTTCTAGCTTGCTTCTCTCCTTGATTTGTTTCCCTCCGTTGCTTCTTGTCCTGCTCTCAGGTGCTTTGGAGAAGAGGTGGACCCCCAAATCTTCTTTGTGGCAGCCTCTCAAATATTGGAAGATGCTATCATGTCATTTGCGGTCCTTCTTTCTTTGTGGATTCCCCCCCTCCCTAAATCTACACCATTTCCCTTCTTAAATTCGAGTTTTATTCATCATATTTCAAGCCACATCATTCAAAAAAATTCAAGCGAGGGCTGGGAAAATGGAAAAAAAATCAGTCTATCTTTACACACCCAAAACTCCCTTCAGCATCCCAAACTCTACTTCCCTTTTGAAAAATATGAGCTTCCTTTTCTTGGCAACTGCTCACTAAGCGTCACTCCTCTTAAAGAGGAAATTTGAGTGAGGGCATCTTGCATCAGCTGGGTAGGAAATTCACCCTCATCTCTTGAAGGGAAAAAAGGCCAAAATACTGTGGAAGAGAAATTCTCAGTCCTAAAATTGATGTCACACGTTCTTTTTATGTAGCTCTATTAAAGGGTGGTTGTGTTACAACCCACACACAGAATATAGATTCCTAGGACTGGAAGGGACCTTCGAGGTCTTCTAGTCCAGCCCTGTTCAAGCAGGAGAGCCTATATCATTTCAGACAAATGACTGTCCACTCTTTTCTTAAAAACTTCCAGTGATGGAGCAGCACCCACAAGTTCTGGTGGCAAGCTGTTCCACTGGTTAATTGTTCTCACCGTCAGGAATGTCTCTCCTTAATTCTAGGTTGGCTTTTTTTTTAAATTTGATTTATATGCCGCCCTTCTCCGGAGACTCAGGGCGGCTTACAATGCACTAAGCAATAGCCTTCATACTTTTGTATATTTATACAAAGTCAGCTTATTGCCCCCACAATCTGGGTCCTCATTTCACCTACCTTAGAAAGGATGGAAGGCTGAGTCAACCTTGAGCCTGGTAAGATTCGAACCTGCAGTAATTGCAGGCAGCTGTGTTAATAACAGGGTGCTTTAAACCACTGATGGGTTTCCATTTTCTTTTCATTTTGTCCTGTTCCCTCTTTGCAAACCCCACTCCCTTCTAGCACTGATGATGTTCCCTAGTTGGGTCATGAAACGTTTGCAAGAAAGCCACCAAACTCAGCGAGCGTTTGGTGAGGAAGAGAAAATATTCTCTTCTTTTGGGTTCACGCTATCCTCGTATTGTCATACATTTTTCCCTGGTGCTGCTTTAAGACAAATTACAATTTAGCGGCAATATTTGCGGTCCAGATGCAACAGAATACAGGATAACACTGATAGGAAATTTCTCCTTAGTTCTAAGTTGCTTCTTTCCTTGATTAGTTTTTCTATCCGTTGCTTCTTGTCCTGCCTTCGGGTGCTTTGGAAAATAAGTGGACTCCCTCTTCTTTGGGGCAGCCCCTCAAATACTGGAAGATGCTCTCATGCCCCCCCAAGCCTTCTCTTCAGTAGGTGTGACACACCTAGCTCCCTCAATCGTTTATCCTACGATTCAGCCAGATTTTAGGTCCCACTCAAAACCTCTTCCCTGCTCCCTTAAAAACCCAAATTTTGACCTGCGGCAGAAAGAGCGAAATAAATTTATAATAAAGGGAATGACAATATTAAGATATGATAAATATTGGAGGAGTAAAAAGAAGATTTAAAAGATGTGTTCAGAAGCTATAATGATTGATTATGTATTGGTTGTTTATAAAATAAAAAACTTTTAAATATATATATATAAAAAAGAAAGAGCTAAATAAATTTGTTGCACCCTCTTTGTCAAACATTGTGCAAACACACTTAAGGATCCAATTCCTCATTCTCCAGAAGGGAGAAGCGGGAAGTGTGGACGGACCAAGAAAAGGAAGGAAGGAAGAAAGAAAGGAAGGAAGGAAGGAGGAAGAAAGAAACGAAGGAAGGAAGAAGAAAGAAACGAAGGAAGGAAGGAAGAAAGAAAGAAAGAAAGAAAGAAAAAGAAAGAAAGAAAGAAAGAAGGGAGGGAGGGAGGGAGGGAAGGAAGGAAGGAAGAAGGAAGAAAGAAAGGAAGGAAGGAAGAAAGAAAGAAAGAAAGAAAGAAAGAGGAGGAAGGAAGGAAGGAAGAAGGAAGAAAGGAAGAAAGGAAGAAAGAAAGAAAGAAAGAAGGGAGGGAGGGAGGGAAGGAGGGAGGGAGGGAAGGAAGGAAGGAAGAAGGAAGAAAGAAAGGAAGGAAGGAAGGAAGGAAGGAAAAAAGAAAGAAAGAAAGGAAGGAAGGAAGGAAGAAAGAAGGGAGGGAGGGAAGAAAGGAAGGAAGGAAGAAGGAAGAAAGAAAGAAAGAAAGGAAGAAAGAAAGAAAGAAAGAAAGAAAGAAAGAAAGAAAGAAAGGAGGAAGGAAGGAAGGAAGGAGAAAGAAAGAAAGGAAGGAAGGAAGGAAGGAAGAAAGAAAGGAGGGAGGGAAGGAAGGAAGAAAGGAAGAAAGGAAAGAAGGAAGGAAGGAAGGAAGGAAGGAAGGAGAAAAACCTTTGAAAGAAAGAAGTTCAAAGCCCAATTCTCTACAAGAGAACTTTGATTTTATTTTTATTTTTATTTAGAGAGGGAGGCGGTGCCGGGAGAGGATCTGTCTCCCCGTTGTACACCTAGGAGACCCTCTCCGGCCGAATGAAAGCAAGCCTGTGTGGGACTACTACATGGTGTAACACTCATCCGTGCCTTGCCTTGAAGTTAGGCAACAGAGAGAAAGCAAAACCTCAGCATGGCATGGGGGGAAAAAAAAACCACAAATCTTTGCTCTACCTCTAGTTTTGCATCCAGGATAATAAAATGGATTTAAAAGAGAGAGAGAGAGAGAAAGAAGCTAATTGCGTGAAATTAAAAATTACCTGTAGTAGCAAGAGCTTCTTTGCAAAATCTTGTTGAGTCGGTTTCACCCCAATCTAGACATTTTGGGCACAAGCAGAAGGCAGGAGGAATTCTGCAGCCGGTTCTCACATGGTCCGGAGTTCAAAAGCTCTCCAAGTTCTAGTCTTCCTTTCTGGCGTTCTTCTCTTCTTCTTTTCTTTCTTCCTTTCTTTCTTGCTTGCCTCCGCTTCCGTCTTTCCCGGGAAAGTCTCCTAGCAAAGTTTCGGCTTCCCCCGGGATCGCGGCTGCGGCTCTCCGCCCGGAGGTGGTGAATCCATTGAAGGAGACACCAGATCTCCAAAGCGCCCGGAGGGATCAGCTGCCGAGGATGGGTTGGGCTGGGGTTGGGCTTGATGGGGAGGGGGCGGTCGGGAGGCGAGGAGGAGATCGGGGGGTTGGGAGCTGCCGGCGGAGCTTCTAGTCCTCATGGAGAAGGGGGAACCCACTTGGGGGCTCCAGACTCTTTCCCACGACACGTGCACGCAGCCCCCCTTCTCCCCCCCCATTTGCTTTAAGGCAGATAAACGTGGGAGGGGGAAAAACACGAGTTTAATATATATATATATATATATATGTTTTTCTTCTAGCCAGGTTTTCCCTACAGAAAAACTTTGGTTACGTAGGGAAAACCTGGCTAGAAAGAAAAACACACATAAACCCTACGAAGAAGTAAGAAATATATATTATATATATATATATATATATATGCATATTCTTTCTAGCCAGGTTTTACCTACGTAAACTAAGTTGTTCTACAGCCCTGGTTCTGTGAAAGTTGTAGAACAACTTAGTTTACGTAGGTAAAAACCTGGCTAGAAAGAATATGCACATAAAAGCCTACGAAAAAGAAAAAGACATAGATAGATAGATAGATAGATAGATAGATAGATAGATAGATAGATAGATATAGATATAGATATAGATATATAGATATAGATATATAGATATATAGATATAGATATATGTATGTATGTATACACACACACACACACAAACACAATTTTATATATTTTATGGTGGGTTTTTAAAATTGAATTGCAAGGTTTTTGAATTGAAATGTTTTAAATTATGGGCCAAACTTTATTTAATTGTTTTAAATCTATTTTAACTTTGGTGTACAAATGTTTTACTTTGGCTGTTCACCGCCCTGAGTCCGAAAGGAGAAGGGCGGTATAGAAATCCGAAAATAATAATAAATAAATAAATAAAATAAAATAAATGCATACTTGGCTAGTGGCTCAGTGGCTAAGACTGATGGGGTTTGAATTCTACATTAATTTTAACTTGTCAGTCTTGATTGTACTTTTAGCTGTTAAATTATGAGATCTGGATTTTATTTTTTAACTTTTTATTAAGATGTTGCTTAACTGTTGTGAGCCGCCCTGAGTCCGGCTGGAGATAGGGCGGCATATAAATCTCATTAATAAAGAAATCATTAATAAATAAATAAGACGCTAGAGCTTGTCGATCAGCAAGGTCGACAGTTCGGCGGTTCGAATCTCAAGTATAAGTCTCCTGCCTGAGCAGCGGAGTTGAGCTAGATGACCTCCAAGGTCCCTTACAACTCTGTTACAGTTACTTTCCCCGCCCCCCAACTCATAAAATGCGTCCCAAGTCAGAAACTAAAGCAAGGTTCCTTACGTGTCGAGGGGAGAAACTGAGGCAGGATTTATAGCATGCTCTCATTAATATTCTTTTGTATATTATTTGTAGAATTGATACTATACAGAATGGTTTTTAGACAGGTAGCTCTGGACTTCAGATCACAATGGAGCCCAACACTGCTAAACGAGGCAGTGGTTAGAGATACAGATTAACAGAGTTGGAAGGGACCTCGGAGGTCATCTAGTCCAACCCCCCACCACCACCCCCAAGCAGGGGACCCTACACTGTTTCTGACAGATGGCAGTCCAGTCTCTTCTTGAAAGCCTCCAGGGATGAAGCTCCCACAACTTCTGAAGTTACAGAAGTTCTCCCCCTCCTTTGATGAACTTTCTTGCCACCGTTGTTAAGTGAATCACCACAGTCGTTAAGTTAGTCACACGGTTGTTAAGTGAATCTGGCTTCCCCGTTGCTTGTCCGAAGGTCGCAAAAGGGGATCTTGCGACCGTCATAAATATGAGTCCGTTGCCAAACGGCTGAATTTTGATCTCATGACCATGGGGGACGGTCGTAAGTGTGAAAAATGGGCATAAGTCACTTTTTTCAGTGTTCTTGTAACGTTGAGCGGTCACTGAAGGGACTGTTGTAAGTCGAGGACTACCGGTATATGTTTTTTATTATACCAGATTGTATTATACAGGTAAGAATATAACTGAGCCCCAAATTTCCGTTGCTAAGTGAGATAGTCGTTAAGTGAGTTTTGCCCCATTTTACGACCTTTCTTGCCACGGTTGTTAAGTGGAGCGCCGCAGTCGTTAAGTTAACCACACGGTTGTTAAGTGAATTCCGGTTGTCAGGTCGTATGAAGGGGATCGCGTGACCCCGGGACACTCAACTGTCGTAAATACGAGATAAACGTCTGCATTTTAATCACATGAGTTGCACCCCTATGGGGGAAGGTCTTGGGGCCCACAAGACTCCTCCCCTTTTGCACACTCATGGTGGGATAGGATTGGGACATAAAGACTCCTCCCCCTTTTGCACTCATGAGGGGCTTAGGGCCCACGACCCCTCCTCTTTTGCACACTCATGGGGGGGCTTGGGGCACACAAGACCCCTTCCCTTTGCACACTAATGGGAGATGGGATTGGGATGTACAAGACCCCTCCCCTTTTGCACACTTAGGGGAAGGTCTTGGGGCACAGAAGACCCCTCCCCTTTGCACACTCATGGGGGGATGGGATTGGGACATAAAGACTCCTCCCCTTTTGCACACTCATGAGGGGCTTGGGGCTCACGACCCCTCCCCTTTTGCACACTAATGGGAGATGGGATTGGAATGTACAAGACCCTCCCCTTTTGCACACTCAGGGCAAGATCTTGGGGCACAGAAGACCCCTCCCCTTTTGCACACTCATGGAGGACAAACTTTGGGCACAGAAACCCCCCCCCTTAACCACTGGAATTGAAGGGTAGTTGTCCTCTGTGCTGGAGGAGCTTTCCACCTTCTGCTCGAAGGGCAGAGCCATCTTGGGGTGCCCAGAAAGACTAGAGGATGCAGGGCGTCCTCTTGTGGGAGGGGGCTGCTTTCACTTGCCACCCCCCAATCCTCGACCAGCCTGGGCTGTTCCTGGGCAGGGCCAGCAAGGAGAGGGAGCGGTTGGAAAGGAAGGGAAGGGAAAGGCCCAATCCCTCTCTGTCTCTCTCTGTCTCGTAGCCCAGCCCACCTCACAGGGTTGTTGTGAGGAAAGGAGGAGGAGGAAGGAGTATTGTGTGCATTCGCCACCTTGGCTTATTTGTAATAATGCAGCTAGTCCTCATGACCAGAATGGAGCCAAAAGTTCCCTCGCGAGGCGAGACAGCGCTTCAGTGAGTTTTGTCCCATTTTACGACTTTTCCTGCCACCGTCGTTAAGTGAACCATCGCAGCCGTTTGTCACTAAGTGAATCCGGCTCCCCCAGGGACCTTGTCAGGTGGTCGCAAAAGGGGATCACGTCACTCTGGGACAGCCCAACGGTCATAAATACGAGTCAGCCTCTGAATTGGGATCACATGACCTTGGGGGGGGGGATGCTGCAACGGCCGTAAGTGTGAAAAAACAGTCTAAGTCGCTTTTTTCAGTGCCGTTGTAACTTTGGTCACTAAATGAACGGTTGTTAAGTCGAGGACTACCTGTAAGAGGGGGAAGGTGCGGTGGATAGATTCCCTGCCTTATTTATTTATTTATATGCCAATTTATATTACAATTTATTTGTAAAAATAATGCCAAATAATATTTTAAAAAGGTCCAAAAAAGTAAAAAAATAATAATGCAAATAATAATGGTGAGGAGGGGGGGGAATTATCTCCAAGACCCCCCCCCAACCCCATCCTTCCCCAGCTCCATCCCTGACACTTTCACGGCCCCTCCCTAAAGGAGCCACTGCTGCCCTCTGTAGGCCACTCTTGGTACTGTGTACAAGTAATCTTCGACTTACGACAATTGAACTCAATGCTTCCGTTGCTGAGCGAGACGTTGACTAAGTGAACTTGGCTCCGTTTTACGACCCTTCTGGCCGCGGCTGTTAAGTGAATCCCTGCAGTCGTTAAGTGAGTCGCGCGGTTGTTGAGCGAATCCAGCTTCCTCATGGACTTTGCTGGCCAGGAGGACCCTGGGACACTGCCACCGTCGTAAATCTGAGTCAGCGGTCAAGCCTCTGAATTTTGATCACGTGAACGGTCGTAAGTGTGAAAAACTAAAACACATGAAGAACGGTTGCAGGACTTGGGTTTGGCTAGTCAAGAGAAAAGAAGGACTTTGGGGAGGGGGGAGATACAATAGCATCTTCCAATATTTGAGGGGCTGCCCCAAAGAAGAGTTGGGGGTCAATTTATTCTCCAAAGCACCAGAAGGCAGGAGAAGAAGCAACGGATGGAAACTCCATCAAGGAGAGAAGCAACCTGGAATTAAGGAGAAACTTCCTAACAGGGAGGACAATTAACCAGTGGAACTGCTTGCCACCAGAAGTTGTGGGTGTTTCATCACTGGAGGTTTTTAAGAAGAGACTGGGCAGCCATTTGTCTGAAAGGGTATAAGGTCTCCTGCTTGTGCAGAGGGCTGGACTAGAAGACCTCCAAGGTCCCTTCCAACTCTCTGATTCTATTATTTGATGGATGGATGGATGGATGGGAGGGAGGAGGAGGAGGAGGAGGAAGGAAGGAAGGGCAATGGATGGAAACTAATCAAGGAAAGAAGCAACCTGGAACTAAGCAGTGACAGTGAGAACAATTAACCAGTGGAACTGCTTGCCACCAGAAGCTGTGAATGCTCCAACACTGGAGGTTTTTAAGAAGAGATTGGATAACCATTTGTCTGAAATGGTATAGGGTCTCCTTCTTGAACAGGGGTTGGACTAGAAGACCTCGAGGGTCCCTTCCAACTTCCAATTATTCTGTAGTGTTCTGTAAGATGCACAATTTTTTAATTGGGGGAGGCTTAGATTTCCTGCTTTGGATTCTGGGGCAAAGAAAAAGAAAAAAACGCCTGTGAGGCTTGCAGATCAAAGCCGATGCCGCCTGCAAAACCATCAGGGAAGGAATTAAAAAAAAATGCGGAGGCTGCAAAACTATTTATTTATCATTTTCTGCCTCTCATGTAGGCCCCCCCGGCCCTCTCCTGAACCCTGCAAGGTAGGTGGGGGAGAGAGAGAGAGAGAGCTCAGCTCGAATTTCCTGGTGGAGCCTGGAGGGTAGATTGGAACTCGGGTCTCCCTGCGGCTAATTCGGAACTTTCTAGTCCCGCCTTAGGCATAGAAGTCGGTTGGGTGACTTTCAGCCAATCACCAGGAGACGATTAGTTCTAGTCCCGCCTTAGCCATTGAAAGCCAGCTGGGTGATTCTGGGCCAATCGCAAGGAGACCGTGAGTTCTAGTCCCGCCTTAGGCGTAGAAGCTGGTTGGGTGAATTTCAACCAATGACCAGGAGATTACGAGTTCGAGTCCTGCCTTAGCCATGAAAACCAACCGGGGGACTTTGGTCCAATCAGGAGGCTTTGATTGTTGTTAAGTGAGTCCGGCTTCCCCCATTGACTTTGTTAGAAGGTACACATAATCCCGGTACACTGTGTCCGTCATAATATGAATCAGTTGCCAAGTGTTTGAACTTCGATCACATGACCATGGGGAGGCTGCAATGGTCATAAGTGTGAAAAACCGACGTAAGTCACCTTTTTTCCGGTGCCGTTATAACTTTGGTCACTAAACGAGTGGTTGTAAGTTGAGGACTACCTGTGACCTGCCCTAAATTGCTGCACAACCTTTTTATGGATATTGGACCAGCAAAAAAAAAACAAAAAAAACAAAACTGTTTTTATTCCTTCGAATTAATCCAATGCAATCTCATTCATAGGCCGTTTCCATCTTCCTTTGCAAGGCGCTAGTCCCTAAGATCAAACCAGGAGACCAAAAACGTCAATTCAGGCAAGTGTTTTAATTAAAATACTTCATAGCACCATAAGAGTTGTTGAGGACATAGGAAATGCGGTTTATTTATTTATTTATTATTATTTTGCAATGCTTCCCTTTCACTGGGGGGGGGGAGGGAAGGGGGGGAGGTCTTGGCCGGCCTGTTTTTATAACAATTGTTCGCTCTGCCTTCCCCGTGGGGAAGGGGAGATCTCGCCAAAGGGAGATCCCACCAAAAGGAGATCCCACCAACTGGAATCCTGTTGAGCAAAAGAAAAAAAAAAAAAGAAAACTATCTTTCTCCAACCTGGTGCCCTCAGGTAAGACGCATCGCAGACTGTCCAGTTATCGGTCCGGAGGCCATTATGAACGTTAAGATATATTTTCCTTATATTATTATTATTATTTTTTTTGCTTTGAATAGAATTCAGTAAAGGAAATCGGCCAGCCAGGTTGTCGAAAAACCAGCCTGAAAAAGATGGGGACAGGTAGAAATGACAGGATAACAGACCCACATCGCCCCGAATCTCTTATCCTCCGACGAGGCAGCAGGGCAAGGACCCCCAAGGGTGGGGGGATCCATCCTCTCCCCCCCCCCCCCAGAATGGTGCATCTCGATTCAAGGGTGCAAAACCCTCCATTTCCGGTTTAGAAAGAGTCCTACTAAAATCTTCCATGTTTTTTTTTTCTTTTTGAATACAGCTCGTTCAAAAGAACCCCTTCCCCGTTTTAGAATGAGTGCGTTAAGATGAGTTTAAAAAGCCATTTAAAAAAAAAAAAAAGAAAGAAAGAAAGAAAGAAAAGAAGGGGGCACCGTGTTACAATGAAAAGCAGAAACGCCGATGCAAGGAGACGACCCCCCCACCCCACACACACACACACCCCTGGCCAGAGGTGGACGGCGCCTTCTGAAGGGTGGGGGGGTGGGGGGTGGTATGTGTGAATGTTAGCACCTCTAGCTGGGAAGTCGGTCCTCCCATCCATCCCGGGCTGCAGACCCCGTCCCCCCCCCCGCTCCGGGGCTCCCGCCGGCTTGGAGTTGACCCAGAAGGAGAGGGGGGGTGGTCCCCTCCTTCTCCCGACTGCTCAGTGGGCCAGAGCCCCCATGGGATCCCAGGCGGGCAGGCAAAAAGGCTCCTGCTGCAGCACGTCCAGGACCTCCTCTGGGACGTGTTTGCGGTCGATGACCACTTCGTACACGAACTCCGAGAACCAGTCGTCCGTCATCAGCAGGTAACCTACAAGGGGGAACAGGGGAGGGAGAGTCAGGTAGCTGTAACCACTAGGCTGCGACCGCAGTCCAGGGGAAGGTTGCTGCAAAATCCCCATTCCCACCCCTCTCCAGGGGAAGGATACTGCAAAATCTCCATTCCCACCCCTCTCCAGGAAGGATACTGTAAAATCTCCATTTCCTCCCCACTCCAGGGGGAAGGATACTGCAAAATCTCCATTCCCACCCCTCTCCAGGGGGAAGGATACTGCAAAATCTCCATTTCCTCCCTACAGCAGGGGAAGGAGACTGCAAAATCTCCATTCCCACCTGACTCCAGGGGAAGGATACTGCAAAATCCCCATTTCCTCCCGATCAGCTGGGACTCGGGAGGCAGAGAATCGATGGTCAGAATTTTTACTACCGGTTCTCCGAACTACTCAAAATTTCCGCTACGGGTTCTCCAGAACTGCTCAGAACCTGCTGAAACCCACCTCTGACATACACACACACAGAGGCCCACATTTTGTTCAGAGGAATTGTGCTTCACCGCGCTTCGCTGGCCTCCCCAGCCCACTTCCCGCTGGACAAGCCCACTTCTGCCAAGATCCAGTCCAGGCAAGTCGCATCCACTGAATCATCGCTTACAAAACCACCGTCACGGAAGGAGGAGATGGAGAGGAGAACTTAAGAGACTCTGAAGGTCTGGAGATGTTCAGTCGTTTGATGACCGCCAATCAAAGATTTGTCTAACACAGGGATGTCCAACCTTGGCAACTTCAAGACTTGTGGACTTCAAGTCCCAGAATTCCCCAGCCTTTCAGAGGGGTGGACACAGTATGCCAGCTGGGGGATTCTGGGAGAGGAAGTCCACCCCTCTTAAAGCAGGCTGACTGGGGAATTCTGGGAGTGGAAGTCCACCCCTCTTAAAGCAGGCTGACTGGGGGATTCTGGGAGTGGAAGTCCACCCCTCTTAAAGCATGCTGACTGGGGGATTCTGGGAGTGGAAGCCCACCCCTCTTAAAGCCAGGCCAGCTGATTGTGTGAGTGTGATTTCAAGGTGTGCTGACGGCCAGGAAAAGGGGAAACTGAGGATTCAGCCCCACGATGCAAAATCTGGCCTTTGCACTTTCTCTCGCTTTGAGGGAAAAAAAAAAAAAAAACCAGGACAAAATGTACAGGGAACACGGAGATTTCAGGGAGTGTTTTTGGAAACAAAACTCAAGAAAAAGCAGATTTGATAACCTCGGGGGCTGAGGAAATTCCTGCGTATCGGAGGAAGTCCCTTTGCAGTGGGAACAATGCCCTCTGACGTGGGGGGAGAGGTCAGGGCTGCCAGAGGGAGCCCCTCCCTCCCCCCCAACTTGGGAATGTGGGGGGGAGGCTTGGCAGGAAAGGTGGGGCGAGACCCCAAGAATGGGTTCTGACTTCCTCCCTAACTTCTCGCTCTCCATCCCGCCCCCCCGCTTTAGAGGTTTGACGTCAGTCTCTGAATCCCAGCCAGACTCTGCTTCCAAACGGAACTTTGCTACAGGTAGTCCTCGACTTATGACTGCAATTGGGCCCAGTACAGGTAAGTCCTCGACGTACGACCATAAATGAGTCCAATACAGGTAGGTCCTTGATTTATGACTGTAAGAGTCCAATACAGGTAGTTCTCGACTTACGATCGCAATTGAGCCCAATACAGGTAAGTCCTCGATGTACGACCGTAAGTAAGGTAAGTCCTTGACTTACAACTATAAGTGAGTCCAATACAGGTAAGTCCTCAACTTATGACTGCAATTCAGCCCAATAGAGGTAAGTCCTCAACTTTTTTTTTTTTTTGCTTTAAATTATATGCCGCCCTTCTCCGGAGACTCAGGGCGGCTTACAATGCGCTAAGCAATAGCCTTCATCCTTTTGTATATTTATACAAAGTCAGTTTATTGCCCCCACAAACTGGGTCCTCATTTCACCTTTGAAAGGATGGAAGGCTGAGTCAACCTTGAGCCTGGTGAGATTCGAACTTGCAGTAATTGCAAGCAGCAGATGTTAATAACAGTGCTTTAGTCCACTGTACTACAGGCTCTTGCAACTTACAATCTCAACTGAGCCCAATACAGGTAAGTCCTCGACTTACGACTGCAACTGAACCCCAAATGTCTATTGCTAAAGCAAGACATTTGTTAACTGAGTATTGTCCCATCTTTATGGCCTTTCTTGCCCCAGTTGTTAAGTGAATCACTGCAGATGTTAAGTTAGTAACACGGCTGTTAAAATGAACTTTGCTTGTCAGGTGATCCCCGAGACTCTTAAACTGTCATAAATGTGAGTCATTTGTGAAATCACGTGACCAATGGGGGATGCTTGCAACAGTCACAGGAGTGAAAAACGGTCGTTTTTCAGGGACCTGGCAACTTTAAACAGTCACTATACAAACTGTTGTAAGTCAAGGATTAACTACCTGTCTAGGATTTAATTCTTTTGTTATTATTTGGGGGCTACATTTTGTCCTCCTTGTTGTGTTTTTGGGTTCCTGAGGATTTTGCAAGCTACAGTAATGGCCAAAATTGTGGAAACCTTTTGGGAAAAGTATATTTTCTAAAACTAGCTAATAACACCACTTCTTTTTTTGGCAGTAGTACCATAAAATTATATATCATTGGAAAGATAATTTAATCAAGAATGTAATGCAATCACTTTTAGGAAGGATTTGCTATGAGAATAGCAGTTACGGTATAAAGAAGAAAAGTGAAACATGTAGAAAAAATGAGATATACAAAAATGATCCCCATGTCAGTTAATACTTAAAGTTAATACTTAACCTTTAGCATGAATGACGGCCTTACAACGTCTTCCCATGGAGTGAACCAAGTCTTTGAGTTCTGCAGCTTTTCTAATGTGAAACCGAGATTGAATGATGGCTTCTATTAACTGGGTTTTATTGCTAGGTTGCTTCTGACTAACCAGTTTCTTTAGTTGGCTCCCTAGATTTTCCATTGGGTTAAGAAGGTCTGGGCTCTTCCCAGGTTATTCCATCAGTGGAATAGGATAATCTTGAAACTCTCTCTCAAAAAAAATGGTGTTATTAGCCATCAAACCTCAAAAATACACTTTTCCCAAAAGGTTTCCCCAATTTTGGCCACGACTGTAAAGAGAGCCCGTTTTCCCAGCCAAAAGGTTCGCTTAAACGGCGTCAGCTTTCGTCTTCCACAGCTCCCTTCATCCGATGGAGCTGCAGGTCCCGGCAGCTGGCGCCTTTTAATAAAAAGTAGGTCGTTGTTTAAAAAATGTGCTTTTTGCCAAAGGGTCTTGCAAATTTCTTCTGCGGGAACAGGGGGATTTTTTGCAAAGTAGGTCACTCCAAGCCTCTGGAGAAGGCAAATCCAGAGGAACGCCTACACGGGTAGTCCTCGACTTACGACCGCAATTGAACCCCCAAATGTCTACTGTTAAGCAAGACATTCGTTAAGTGAGTATTGTCCCATTTTATGGCCTTTCTTGCCCCCGTTGTTAAGTGAATCACTGCAGCTGTGAAGTCAGTCACGCGGTTGTTAAGTGAATCTGGCCTTCCCCGTTGACTTTGCTGGTAGAAGGTCGCAAAAGGGGATCGATCACGAGACCCCGGGACGCTGCAACCGTCATAAATATGAGTCAGTTGCCAAAGCGTCCGAACTTTGATCCCCGTGGGGACGCTGCAACGGTCGTAAGTGTGAAAACGGTTGTAAGTCACTTTTTTCAATGCCGCTGTACCTTTGAATGGTCACTAAATGAATTGTTGTAAATTGAGGACTATCTATAATCAGAGGGGCTTTGCTGTGTTTAAATCCTGAAAGCTTGAAATGGCCCCCCTGTGAAGGAATGGAATGGAATAGAATAGAAAATATGGAATAGAATAGAATAGAACAAGCATAGGAATAGAATAAAATAGAAGAGAAGAATAGAGTAGAGTAGAGTAGAATAGAATAATAGAATAGAATAAAATAGAATAAGCACAGGAATAGAATAGAATAGAATAGAATAGAATAGAATAGAATAGAATAGAAGTACAGAATATAGAAGAGTAGAATAAAATATAATGAGAATAGAATAGAATAGAATAACAGAGCTGGGAGGGACCTTGGAGGTCATCTAGTCCAACCCCCCGCCCAAGCAAGGAGCCCCTACACCCTTTCTGACAGAGGACAGTCCAGTCTCTTCTTGAAAGCCTCCAGGGATGAAGCTCCCACAACTTCCGAAGGCAACTTCTGTTCCATGGATTAATTGTCCTCACTGTCAGAAAATTCCTCCTTGTTTCCAGGTTGAATCTCTCCTTGTTCAGTTTCCATCCATTATTCCTTGTCTGGCCTTCGGGTGCTTTGGAAAACAGCTTGACCCCCTTCCTCCTCTCTGGGGCAGCCCCTCCAATATTGGAAGATGCTCTCCTGTCTCCCCTGGTCCTTCTCTTCACTAGACCAGCCAGGCCCAGTTCCTGCAACCGTTCATCGTATGTTTGAGCCTCCAGTCCCCTCATCATCCTGGTTGCTCTCCTCTGCACTCTTTCCAGAGTCTCAACATCTTTTCTATAGTGTGGCGACAAAAACCGGATGCAGTACTCTAGGTGTGACCCTACTAAGGCTTTATAGATAGCTAGACAGTCATTCATTCATTCATTCATTCATTCATTCATTCATTCTATCTATCTATCATCTATCCATCTATCTATCTATCTATCTATCTATCTATCTATCTATCTATCTATCATCCATCCATCCATCCATCCATCCATCCATCCATCCATCCATCCTATCCATCTATCCATCTATCTATCCATCCATCCATCCATCCATCCATCCATCCATCTATCTATCATCCATCCATCCATCCTATCCATCCATCCATCCATCCATCCATCCATCCATCCATCCATCCATCTATCTATCTATCTATCTATCTATCTATCTATCTATCTATCATCCATCCTATCCATCTATCCATCTATCTAGCTATCCATCCATCCATCCATCCATCCATCCATCCATCCATCCATCTATCTATCTAATCTATCTATCTAGGCTAGGGATCAGCAACCTTAAAGACTCAAAGAGCCACAAAGGTCCTAACCAGAAGCCCCCGTTCAATTCTAGAGCCAACCAAAAATCCGGTTCCTGCACCATAGAGTCTCCTCCTAGCGCGGCATTCTTTTTCCTCTACCTGTCCTAACCGAAAGCCCTATCAATTGTGGAGCCGACCAACAACAGGGAGCCGCAGCACAGGGATGAAAGAGCCACATGCGGCTCCAGAGCTGCGGGTTGCTGACCCCTGATCTAGACAGACAGACAGACAATAAGCAGATGATAGGCAAATGAGAGAGAGACAGACAGACAGACACTCTTGCAGGTAATTTGAGGAGTGGGTGGGAGAAAGCAGATTTCTCGCATGGGGAAGTGTTACCCTCCCCTTGGCTCAGCCCTGATAGAACCCCCTCCCTCTTCACCTCCCCCTTTATTTATTTATTTTATTTATTTGTTTCCATTTCTATACCGCCCTTCTCCAAATAGGACTCAGGGCGGTGAACAGCCAAAGTAAAAAACAGAACATACAAAATTTAAAAACAGTTTAAAATAATTAAATATTTCATCAGGGATGCCGTACCTTTATTCCCACGGTCTTCACCCCACGAATTCTCCACGCGCCACTTCTCGTAGCCCTCGTCCGGTTCTTCCTAGAAAAGGAGAATCGCAGGCGGTGAGAAAAACCACGACTGTAACACCGCTCTTCCTTGGGATTGAAAATGACCAAAACGGGACAGGTATTCCTCGATTTACGGCCACAATGGAGCTCGAAATTTCTGTTGTTAACTGAGACAAATTTTTTTAGTGAATTTTGCCCCGTTTTAGGACCTTTCTTCCCACATTTTTAAGTGAATAGCGGCAGCTGATAAGTTAGTAACAAGGGTTTTGCTTGTCAGAAGGTTGCAAAAGGGGGATCAGGTGACCCCAGGATACTGCGACTGTCATAAATACGAGTCATTTGCCAAGCATCCAAATTATGATCCCCGTGGAGAGGCTGCAACACACGTTGTAAGTGTGGAAAAACGGTCGTAAGTCACTTTTTTAAAATGCCTTTGTAACTTTGAATGGTCACTAAACGAACTGTTATAAGTCTAGCAGTTTTGACGGAAATGTCCCCAAAACGAACACAGTTTTTGCAAAATTTCCTGTTTTGTTACTTTGGCGTCCCGAAGTCAAGAACGCTTCATAAACTTGGACAACCGGCTGCTACGACAAACAAGCTCCCCGCCAGCCCAGCATTCCTGGTTTTAATTTGGCTGTCAACTATTGCTGCTCTTCCAATTTCTCTTCCTGCCATCCTGGTTTTGCAACTGCTAAATGCCGGGGAGGAATATTTATATATGAGCCGCATCGTTGCAAAACGTATTTAAACAACCGCAACAGGATTGTTGGTCGGGATGAAGCAGTGGTGCCCGACGGGGAATTCTGAAATGCTCCAAGGGAAGAGAACTGCTGTGCTTGGTAAGGGGGCTAACCACTAGGCAGTGTTCCCAGGGGTGAGGGGGATGAGACCACCCCCATTAAATAATTCCCAACATCATGTTTTAGGCTAGAGGGACACTGTTTTGATGCTGCCAGAACAGAGAGGCCCAACCTTGATGATTTGTGGACTTCAACTCCCAGAATTCCTCAGCCAGCATGTCTTCTTCTCCAGGGGTCTCCAAGCTTAACAACTCTATGATTTGTGGACTTCAACTCCCAGAATTCCTCAGCCAGCATGTCTTCTTCTCCAGGGTTCTCCAAGCTTGACAACTTTATGATTTGTGGACTTCAACTCCCAGAATTCCCCAGCCAGCATGTCCTCTTCTCCAGGGGTCTCCAACTTTGATTTCTTGACTGGCTGAGGAATTCTGGCTGCTGGAAGTCCACAAAGTCATCAAGTAGCCAAGTTTGGAGACCCCTGGTCTTCTCTTCCTTCTTTTCCACCATGATGGGCTTCTCAAAGGATTTGGGTCTTTCACTGATCGACTGATTATGTTCTATCAAGTTTTGACTCTCAGGAACCACCTGGATAGACCTTCTGCATGATGGTTTGTCCCATACCTGGTCCTTCAAGACTTCCTATGGTGGACTCATCACCACTTTAACGGATGAACTTAAGTTCTAGTGGCGATGGGGACACCATTGGAAAACCAGGTTGGACCCATCTCAACCTGGAGAAGGTCTATTTTTGTGGTTGCCAAACTGACTTGATAGAACAATCAACGCAAAGAGCAGCTCCTTTGAGAAGTCCATCATGGTGGGAAAGGTGGAAGGGAAGGCAAGAAGACAACCAGGAGCAAGGAGAATGGACTCAGCTACAGTGACGACGGGTCAACAACTGGAAGTCTTGAAGGACCAGGTTTGAGACAGATCATAGAGAAGGTCTATAGGTCAGGAGTGGAGAATGATGGCCCTTTTATGACTTGTGGACTTCAACTCCCAGAATTCCTGAGCCAGCCATGCTGGCTGGCTCAGGAATTCTGGGAGTTGAAGTCCACAAGACATAAAAGGCCATCATTCCACACCTCTGATCTAGCTGGTCGCTAAGAGTTGACACCAACCGGATGACACGTAATGGAGAAGGCCCCATGTTGTTGTTGAGCTGACACCCATTTGATGACCCACAATCAGTCAATCAAACCTTGTCAATCTCTAGGACCGATGAATTTAAGGCAGGGAGAACATTTCTCCCAAGCATCTTACTTTCTTCGTGAAGGCTGTAATGACCATTGCGTGCGTCATCATGGAGTCCCCAAAAATCAGCCGCTCGTCTTTCTTCATATTCTTGACTGACACCCCGAACATCAGCTCATGATTGTATCTGCAAACAGCCAAAAAGGTTTATGAATGAGGGGAGAGGGGGACTGGGGCCACCGCGTGGACTTCAACTCCCACAATACCTTGCTGGTTGGGACTGAAGGGAGAAAGTCACCCCAAAAACCTGGGCTTTGTCCTCCCTCTTTATAAAAAAATGCATCTCCTGATAAGCTCAGGGTCTCACTGAGCCAATTTGGTCCGGTGGTTAAGACACCAGGCTAGAAACTAGGAGATGGTGAGTTCTAGTTCCGTCCTAGGCATGAAAGCCAGCTGGGTGGCTTTGGGCCAATGACCAGGAGACAGTGAGTTCTAGTCCTGTTTTAGGCATAAAAGTTATCTGGATGACTTTGGGCCAATCACCAGGAGACAGCGCCTAGTCCTGTCTTAGGCATGAAAGGCAGCTGGGTGACTTTGGGCCAACCACCAGGAGATGGTGAATTCTAGTCCTGCCTTAGGCATGAAAGCTGTCTCGGTGACTTTGGGCCAATCACCAGGAGACAGTGAGTCCTAGTCCTGCCTTAGGCATGATAGCCGGCTGGGTGACTTTGGACCAACCACCAGGAGACTGGGAATTCTAGTCCTGCCTTAGGCATGAAAGCTGGCTGGGTGACTTTGGGCCAATCACCAGGAGACGGTGAGTTCTAGTCCCGCCTTAGGCATGAAAGCCAGCTGGGTGACTTTGGGCCAATCCCTTTCTCTCAGCCCAGCCCACCTCACAGGGTTGTTGCTGGGAAAATAGGAGGAGGAAGATATATTAGGCATGTTCGCAGAACCAGGGACACAAATAAGTAAATAAATAAAGGTCTTTACCGATAAAGTTTGATATATAAAACAATACACAGGTAAGAAAATAAACCATGGCCTCCGCGTGTGGACAAGAACCCCCAAATTGAGGGAAACCGGGGCTCCTGCTTGGAAGCGTTCCCCAGAGGCAGCCCCCTCCCCTCCCCATGGAGGGTCCCTCTTGCACCAAACCTTACATCTTCAAATCGTTGATGCCCAGCTTGCTATTAAAACATTTTCCAACGTCGCAGCCAAACCACACGGCCTGCGGGAGAAGAGAGAACAGCCAACGGTCAGGACGAGGAAGAAAAGGCAGAAGAGAGTTGGGGGGGGGGTCAACCACGGGGGGGGCAGCGTGCCCTAGAGGCTGACCTCTCCATCCTGAATGGACGCGGCCACCATCTTTTTCAAGAGCTCTACCGGCTGGTTGTTGTAAAGAGTCCTCCTGCCTCCCACCATGTTGCCCAGATACTCCACGGTGTAGAGCTGGTTGTATTTGTTCCGGGGTCGAGGATCGTTCACCAGACACACCTGTGAGATAGAGAGGAGAGTGGGGGAGAGATGTTAGGGCTAGCCAGGTGCAGGAAGGGGCAACCCCTCTAACTCGGCTGGGATTCCCTACCGGCCAGACGGGACGGTTTAAATCAGGGGTGTCCAACTTCGATTTGGCCGCTTTGAAGACTGGTGGACTTCAATTCCCAGAATTCCCCAGTCAGCATGGGACTAGAACTCCCTGTCTCCTGGTGATTGAGCCACAGTCACCCAGCTGGCTTTCATGCCTACGGTAGCACTAGAACTCCCTGCCTTCTGCTGATTGGTTCAAAGTCACCAAGCTGGCTTTCATGTTTAAGGCGGGACTAGAACTCACAAGCTCCTAAGGATTGGGTCAAAGGTACCCAGTCGGCTTTCATATCTAACAAGGGACTAGAACTCACTGTCTCCTGGTGATTGGGCCAAAGTCACCCAGCTGGCTTTCATGTCTAAGGGACAAACTAGAATTCACTGTCTCCTAGCGATTGGTCCAAAGTCACCCAGCCTTCTTTCCTGCCTAAGGCAGGACTAGAACTCACCATCTCCTGGTGATTGGGCCAAAGTCACCCAACTGGCCTTCATGTCTAAGGTGGGACTAGAACTCACAAGCTCCTAGTGATCGGATCAAAGGCCTCCAGACAGCTTTCATGATGAAAGAGGGACTAGAACTCCCCATCTGCTGGTTTCTAACCCAGCACCTTAAGGTGGGGTTTACGGAAACCATGAAATAAGTGAACAGACCATGGGGTCAAATTTCTCGTGGGATTCCCGTATGCCAGGAGAAAGGAGAATGTCAATCAAAACGCCCTTCCTGTTTGAATCCAAAAAGGGAGTTCTAGTTTCAGCACGGAAAGAATGCCGAATATATTGGGGAGGGATGCCACACTGGGGGACACAGCTGGGCTGGACTGGACTTGAGAAAAGGGATTTCAGGTGAGGAATGTGCCCAGATCCCCCCCCCCCAAAAAAGAGAGATTCCAGGATCAGGGAAACGATCACTTCATGCTGGTTTGCATCGCGAGATCTTCCTACCTTGCTCTCCATATCAAACAACGGCTTGACGTGGTCTTGGTAGAACTTCGCGGGGCTGATGGGCCCGATCTTGTGATAGTTCTTCTCCTTGTCGTAATATTCCCAGCAGAAGGTGGCGGGAGGGTTCCCCAGGCAGATGCTGACGACCCGGAACACCTGGAAGAGGACGGGAGAATGTGGTTGTGGAAACCCAGCCACCCCCTGAACGGAGGCGTGGATAGCTGCGCGAGTTTGAAGCGGTGGGTTGCAAGTGGAGGTTGTAAGCGGAGGTTGTAAGCGGTGGGTTGTAAGCAGAGGATGTAAGCGGTGGGTTGTAAGCGGAGGTTGTAAGCAGTGAGTTGTAAGCGGAGGTGTAAACAGTGGTTTATAAGCAGAGGTTGTAAGCAGTGAGTTGTAAGTGGAGGTTGTAAGTGGTGGGTTGTAAGCGGAGATTGTAAGCGGTGAGTTGTAAGCGGAGGTTGTAAACAGTGGTTTATAAGCAGAGGTTGTAAGCAGTGAGTTGTAAGTGGAGGTTGTAAGTGGTGGGTTGTAAGCGGAGGTTGTAAGCAGTGAGTTGTAAGCGGAGGTTGTAAACAGTGGTTTATAAGCAGAGGTTGTAAGCAGTGAGTTGTAAGTGGAGGTTGTAAGTGGTGGGTTGTAAGCGGAGGTTGTAAGCAGTGAGTTGTAAGCGGAGGTTGTAAACAGTGGTTTGTAAGCGGAGGTTGTAAGCAGTGAGTTGTAAGCGGAGGTTGTAAGTGGTGGTTTGTAAGCGGAGGTTGTAAGCGGTGGGTTGTAAGTGGAGGTTGTAAGTGGAGGTTGTAAGGGTGGGTTGTAAGCAGAGGGCAAAGGAAAGCATGATGGTGCCACAATGGGATTTGCTCCCCCAGTCACCAAGGAAGGAACCTCAAGCTGGAAGAACTGCCAGAGGTTATCTAAAGGGGGCCACAACGATGGAAGGAAAGCCCCTCCTCATTTTAATGCCTGGGTAAGGCCACGCGTGGAATATTGCATCCAGTTTTGGTCGGCACAATGTTAAAAAAGATGTTGAGACTCTGGAAGGAGTGCAGAGAAGAGCAACCAAGAGGATTAGGGGATTGGAGGCTAAAACATAGGATGAACAGTTGCAAGAACTGGGCATGTCTAGTTTAATGCAAAGAAGGACTAGGGGGGACATGAGAGCAGTCTTCCAGTATTTGAGGGGCTGCCCCAAAGAGGGGGGAGTCAAGCTATTCTCCAAAGCACCTGAAGGCAGGACAAGAAGCAATGGGTGGAAACCAATCAAGGAGAGAAGCAACCTGGAATTAAGGAGAAACTTCCTAGCAGTGAGGACAATTAACCAACGGAACTCCTTGCCACCAGAAGTTGTGGGTGCTCTATTACTGGAGGTTTTTAAGGAGAGATTGGACAAATATCTGCCTGAAATGGTCTAGGATTTCCTGCCTGAATAGGAGGTTGGACTAGAAGACCTCCAAGGTCCCTTCCAAATCTGTTGTCCTGGTAATGAGAGAGATGGGGCTTAGGTCACATCTGCCATCTTGACTTTGCCAAGCCCTGCATGGAAACCGCTCACAAGAAAATCAACCACTTGGCCTAATATCTTCCCTTTTTTAAATATGTAAATTTTAATCTGTTTTTAAATTATTGGGGTGTTTTAATCTGTCTGGGCCAAAATGATTTAATTTGATTTTATCTGGTTTTTAAATTTTTTGTATCTATGTATTTTATTGTTTGGCTATTCACCGCCCTGAGTCCTTCGGGAGTAGGGCGGTATTTATTTTATTTTTTATTTTATTAGATTTCTATACCGCCCTTCTCCCGAAGGACTCAGGGCCCTGCACAGCCAAAAGATAAAACACAGAGATACAAAATTTAAAATAGATTAAAACAGATTAAACAATTTGGCTAAATTTTAAAAATATCCCATAATTAAACAAATTAAAATTAGTGTTTAAAATTTGAATTTAAAAATTTTAAAAGGGAGAAGATTTAGGCCAGGCCAGCTTGATGAAATAAAAACGTTTTCATATACAAATCAAATAAACTAACTAACTAACTAACCACTTGGCCCCCAACTGAACCCCTGTGGTCAGTCTTTGCTTAAGCAGGGGGCTGGACTAGAAGACCTCCAAGGTCCCTTCCAACCTTATTGCAGGTAGTCTTCGACTTACAAGCACAACGGAGACCAACATTTCTGTTGCTAAGGGAAACGTCTGTTGAGTGAATTTCACCCCATTTTATGACCAATCTTGCCATGATTGTTAAGTGAATCACCACAGTTGATAAATTAGTAATCCGGTCGTTAAGTGAGTCTGTTTTTTCCATTGAGTTTGCTTGTCAGAAGGTCGCAAAAGGGAATCGCTTGAACCCAGAACACTGAGACTGTCATAAATCAGAGTCGGTTGTCAAGCGTCTGAATTTTGATCATGTGACCCGGGGGGACGGTCATTAAGTGTGAAAAATGGTCCTAAGTCACTTTTTTCACTGCTGTTGTAACTTCAAACGGTCACTAAATGAAATCAAGGGCTACTTATAGCTGGTAGCTTAACACTTTTTAACCATTTCAGATGCTGCTACTTATTTTTATATATATATATATATATATATATATATATATATATATATATATATTGTTGTTAAAGTGAATCTGGCTTTGCGAGGAGGAGGAGAATGACCGTGAGGTCCTTGGTGCTAATTTATAGGTAAATATCAATCAGAATAGAATTGGAAGGGGCCTTAGAGGTCCTCTAGTCCAACCCCCTGCTCAAGCAGGAGAGACCCTGTACTATTTCAGACAGGTGGCTCTTCTTTTCTGCTCTCTGAGCTTTGTTGTTTTCTTGATTTAAATGGTCACTAAACGAACTGTTGTAAGTTGAGGACTACTTGTATTTACGATGGTTGCACTCTCCTGGGGTTAGGTCATCGCATTTGTGACCTTCCCCCAAAAAACTAGTCAACGGGGAAGCTGGACTCACTTAACGACTGCATGATTCAGCTGCAGTGATTTACTTAACCACCCTGGTGAAAAAGGTCGTAAAATGGGACACAATGGACTTAACAACCACCTTGTTTAGCAATGGGAATTCTACGTTCTGGTCGTAGGTTGAGGACTAGCGGCATGCTATGTGCTCAGCAGCAGAGCAGATGGCTTATACATTGTCCGCTACTGCCCTCTAGTGTCCAAAAGTTTCGGAACTGTTGGAACTTCGAACAAATGATTGTTAAGTGGAGGACTGCAGGAAGCGCTCCACCGCTCAAATAGCACCTTAGATTGAACTGAAAAGGGAAACAACAGGAGAAGGGGAAGGAGTAGAGAGAGAGGAAGGGAGAAGAGAGGAGAAGAGAAAGAAGAAAGGGAAAAGGAGAGGAAGAGGAAGAAAAGAGAGGGGAAAGAGGAGTAGAAGAGAACGTTAGAAGGGGGGGAAGAAGAGAGGAGTGGGGGAAGAGAAGGGGAAGTAGAAAAGAGAAGGAGAGAAAGAACGAAGAAAGTGGGAGGAGAAAGAGGAAGGAAGAGAAGGGGAGGAGAAGAAGAAAGGGAAAGGAGAGGAAGAAAAGGGAGGGGAAAGAGGAGTAGAGGAGAAGGTTAGAAGTGGGGAAGAAGGGAGGAGTGGGGGAAGAGAAGGGGAAGTAGGAAAGAGAAGGAGAGAAAGAACAAAGGAAGTAGGAGAAGAGAGAGGAAGGAAAAGAAGGGGAGGAGAAGAAAGGGAAAAGGAGAGGAAGAAAAGGGAGGGGAAAGAGGACTAGAGGAGAAGGTTAGAAGGGGGGAAGAAGAGAGGAGTGGGGGAAGAGAAGGGGAAGTAGGAAAGAGAAGGAGAGAAAGAACGAAGGAAGTAGGAGAAGGAAAAGAAGGGGAGGAGAAGAAGAAAGGGAAAAGGAGAGGAAGAAAAGGGAGGGGAAAGAGGAGCAGAGGAGAAGGTTAGAAAGGGGAAGAAGAGAGGAGTGGGGGAAGAGAAGGAGAAGTAAGAAAGAGAAGGAGAGGAAGAACGAAGAAAGTAGGAGGAGAAAGAGGAAGGAAAAGAAGGGGAGAAGAAGAAAGGGAAAAGGAGAGGAAGAAAAGAGAGGGGAAAGAAGAGAAGAGAAAGTTAGAAGGGGGGAAGAAGGAAGGAGTGGGGGAAGGGAAGGGGAAGTAGGAAAGAGAAGGAGAGGAAGAAAGAAGAAAGGAGAAGGAGAAAGAGGAAGGAAGAGAAGAGGAGGAGAAGGCCTGGAGGTGGCTGATGAGGAAGAGGAGGAACAGCTGGGTCCAGTGCCTGATAGAAGGCAGAGGAGAGGAGAGCACTGGAAATCTATGAGCCGGTCCTCGGGACAGAAAAGCCACCGCTGCTAGTAAAACCCTATCCTAGCTCTGGGGATAAAACGCAGGGGGCGGAGATGAATAGATGGGACAGACAACTATTCATCTCCCCTGCCGGACAAACTTGTTAGCTTGCGGTGAGAGAGAAACTTTTTGCCGGGGCTGCCGGCGCTCCTAATCAAGGAATCTTTTGAGTTCACTTCAGAGGGTTTCCCGTGTTTGGGGAGCTGGGTCAGAACCCCAGGGGTTTCGTGATAAGATCAGATGCTTTGGAGGCATGGCTGCAAATCTGGAATATATTCCTCCTTCGGAAGCAACCCCCAAATACCAGGACGGGGGTCCCTTCCCTAACCCCCCCCCCCCCACCCCCTCAATCATGGTGTCGATTGCTGCCGAAAGCTCCTCTTTGCTGCATCCGGTCTCGACCATGTTTCGTAGTCGGAGACAATATTCCCGCATCTGTTGGAAAGAAGAAATGCATGTTAGTGTATCTTCCAAATCCTATAGTACCATTTCAGACAAGTGGCTGTCCAATCTCTTCTTGAAAGCCTCCAGTGAAGGAGCGGCCACAACTTCTAGTGGCAAGCAGTTCCACTGGCTAACTGTCCTCCCTGTCAGGAGGTTTCTCCTTCATTCCAGGTTGCTTCTCTTCCTTGGTGAGTTTCCATCCGTTGTTTCTTGCCCTGCCTTCTGGGGCTTTGGGAAATAGCTTGCTTAACGACGGACTGTTTAACCTTGGTGTCCAGTTTTAATGTTTGCGCTTTTAATAGCTTTGTGATATATTGATTGTTATTTTAGCTGCTGGTTGGGAACATCCAGAGTTTGATATAAGATGGGCAGCTATGTAATATAAATAAATGCTTTAAGGACAGGTAGTCCTTGGCTTACAAGAGGTCATTTAGTGACCGTTCAAAGTTACGACGTCGCTGAAAGAAGAGACTTCTGACCGTTTTTCTCTTGTGACTGATGCAGGAACCCTGTGGTCACGTGTTCGAAATTTGGATGCTTGGCAAGCGACTCACATTTATGACCGTCGCAGTGTCCTGGGGTCAAACAATCTATTTATTTATTTATTGTTTATTGGTTCGATTTATATGCCGCCCTTCTCCGGAGACTCAGGGCGGCTTACAATGTGTTAAGCAATAGCCTTCATACTTTTGTATATTTATACGAAGTCAGCTTATTGCCCCCACAAACTGGGTCCTCATTTCACCTACCTTAGAAAGGATGGAAGGCTGAGTCAACCTTGAGCCTTGGAGAGATTTGAACTCTCAGTAATTGCAGGCAGCTGGTGTTACTTTAACAGTGCTTTAGTCTGCTGCACCACCAAGGCTCCTTGTGCGACCCTTCTGACGAACGAAATCAACGGGGAGGCCAGATTCACTTAAGAACCGTGTCACAAAACTTCACAACTGCAGCATTTCGCTTAGCAACAGTGGGAAGGAAGGTCGTAAAATGGGGCCAGGCTCACTCAACAACAGTGTGACTAACTCAACCAGCGCAATTAACAAAAGTGGCAAGAAAAGTCATAAAACGAGGCAAAACCCACTTAACAAATGTCTTTAGCAACCTAGCACTATTAGCAACATAAATTTTGGGCTCAATGGTGGCCGTAACCCGAGGACTACCTCTAGTCCACAACTTGCAAGAGCTGATTTAGCGACCGTTCAAAGTTACAACTGCACCAGAAGAAGGGATTTATGACCGTTTTCCCACTTAACGACGGTTGCATCATCCCCGAGGTGATCAAAATCCAGACGCTTGGCAACTGACTCATAGTTATGACACCTGCAGTGTCCCTGGGGGGTCACGTGATCCCCTTTTGCGACCTTCCAACAAACAAAGACAATGGGCGGGGGGAAAGCCGGATTCATTTAACGACCGTGTTAGCAGGCTTAACAACTGCAGTGATTCTATGCCTCTGGGCACATCCAAAATATGTTCCTGTCTCACATGTTACACACTGTGCTTATAAAAAAAAAATTACATTTAAATGTTTTCCCCAAGTAAATATTTTAGCTTCATGTTGCATTCATCTGGCTTCAAACTATGTTCAACATCCCAGCTAGTATGGCCCATGAATGAAATTTGCTCTTACTCTTTAGCTATAGTTTAAACCAGGAGTCTCTAACCTTGGCAACTTTAAGACTTGTGGACTTCAACTCCCAGATTCCTCAGCCAGCAGTTGCTGGCTGAGGAATTCTGGGAGTTGAAGTCCACAAGTCTTAAAGTTGCCAAGGTTGGAGACCCCTGGTCTAAATTCCCTAGGCCTGTGTTGCTAATAATGGGTCTTGTTCAAATGGCCTTTGATGTAGACCAGGGGTGTTAAACTCACGTCATCATGGTGGCGTCTCATGTGACGTATTGGGACTTCCCCCCCTTCGCTAAATTGGCTGTGGGCGTGGCCAGGGCATGACACATCCGGCCGGCCGTGGAGAGTTTGACAGCCATGATGTAAACCAAAATCAGGATGCTGGTGAAAGGTGCCAAAACAGTCCCTCGATCCAAAACATGTGTTTCGACTATCATTTCTCACAATAACTCTCTTCTTTCCGTCTCAATTTAAGTCTCCATCTTGAGAGAAAATGCTAAGAAGGGCAACAAGGCAGGAGGGTTTGGAGTGATTGGGTTCCACATTCCTCCATCACACATATATTTGGTTCCTTACATTGAATCCTCTGCTCTTTTACATACAAGATCAGAATATTTATGCATTGGGGATATGCAGCATTTTTGGATCCCAAGTCGAAAAAGATGGCTTGGATGGAATCAATATGCCTACCATACTTGGAGCCTCCTTAAGAGAAGCTGTGTCTTCTGGGCTCACATGGAACCTACTCAAGTCACAGGAAAATATGGTTTTGACTGAAAAGAAATGCCAACAGAGTACAAGAAAGTGCTGTATGGCGGATATGAGTTCATGGTTGTTGGCATGTTATTAACTCAAGATCAACTTTTCCTGGGATTGGTTGCTACCATACAATCCCAGGATAATAATCAATGTTTTTAAGGCAATACCCACAGGATTCAGTGCAGGGGTGAAATGCTCCCAGTTCGGACCGGATCGCCCGATCCGGTAGCGATGGAGGCGGGTGGTTCAGAGAACCGGTAGCAAAAATCCCTGCCCCCCCTATGCCCAGCTATGCCGCACAATCATCAGAGGCTTTTTTTTTACTTTTAAAAGCATTTTTTTCTACAACCTCTTTGGTCAAAAAATGCTTTTAAAAGTAAAAGAAAAAAGCCTCTGATGATCGCGCGGCCCAGCTGGGATCATCAAAGGCTTTTAAAAGAAAAAAAAAGCCTCTGCCGATCAGGCAACTCAGTTTGGATCATCAGAGCCTTTTGAAACCATTTTTTTACAACCTCTTCGCCGAAGGGTTGCCAAAAAAATGGTTTTAAAACTTAAAAAAAAAAAATTGGCCATGCCCACCCAGTCACATTACCCCCCCAAGCCACGCCCACAGAATCGGTAGTAACAAATTTTAGATTTGACCACTGGTTCAGTGTGTAGTTAAACTCACTCCAAAGCACTTTTTTGACTTGGCATTGGAAGCATTAACATCCCTAATTAGAATTTAAAGACCTAAATTGCTTGTTCTGTATGCTTTCTACCTAAATATCACCAATGTTCTTTGAACGATAAATGAAGGATTGCAACAGGGGCTATGCTAACATATTTGACCTGGGGAAGATTAAAAAATGTTGACTGGAGTAGCAATTCTTTTACCTGATTTATCTTTTCGAAGGTTAGCAAGAATAACATGACATCTGTGTTGATGGACAGAAGCCCAACAGAACATCACAAGTCCGAGAACATGGCACCAGCAGACTGTCAGTGAGTGGGCTTTGCCTAAATGAAGAGAGACAGAATGTATTTATTCATTTAAAATATTTTGAACCTTTCAAAATATTTTATTACCTTTCCTTCCATGGTTGTTAAGTCAATCACTGCAGTTGTTAAGTTAGTAACATGGTTACTACTGCGATGCTCTCTACCTGGGGCTGCCCTGAAGACCACTCGGAGGCTTCAGCTGGTGCAGAATGCGGCCGCGGGGGTAGTAATGGGAGTGTCCTGACACTCTCATGTTACACCCCCTCCTGCGGACCTGCATTGGCTACCGGTTGCCCTCCGGGTGAGATTCAAGGTGCTGGTTATTACCTATAAAGCCCTACATGGCTTAGGCTCGGGGTATTTGGCAGACCATCTGCGGCCAACGACCGCTCCCCATCGCCCGGTGCGTTCTCACAGGGAGGGCCTCCTTGGGTGCCGTCGGCCAGACAATGTCGGCTGGCGACCCCTAGGGAGCGGGCCTTCTCCGTGGGCGCACCTACCCTGTGGAATCAGCTCCTCCTGGAGCTCCGGGTGGCCCCTAACCTTCGCTCTTTCCGCCGTGACCTTAAAACATGGTTATTTCGCCTGGCTGGTTTGGACTGAAGGGGTTTTAAAGGTCTTTTTATAATCTTATTGGGTATTTTTAACATTGATTTTGCTTGTTTTTATTGTTGTGAGCCGCCCCGAGTCCTTCGGAGATAGGGCGGCATACAAGTTTAAATAATAAAATAAATAAATAAGTGAATACAGCTTCCTCTTTGACTTTGCTTGTCAGAAGGTCCCAAAACGGGATCATGTGACACTGCAATCATCATAAATATGAATCGAGAGCCAAGCATCTGAATTTTGACCGTGGGAAGCTACAATGGTCGTAAGTGTGAACAATAGTCATAAGTCACTTTTTTCAGTGCCTTTGCAACTTTGAATGGTCACTAAATGAACTGTTCCTAAGTCGAGGACTACCTGTATTGCCCCCCCCCAAACAATCTGGGTCTTCATTTTACCGAACTCGAAAGGATGGAAGGCTGAGTCAACCTTGAGCCGGTGAGAATTGAACTGCTGGCACTCAACAGAAATAGCCTGCAATACTGCCTTCTAGGGGACGCGGTGGCTCAGTGGCTAAGATGCTGAACTTGTCGATCGAAAGGTCGGCAGTTCAGCGGTTCGAATCCCTAGTGCCGCGTAGCAGGGTGAGCTCCCGTTACTTGTCCCAGCTTCTGCCAACCTAGCAGTTCGAAAGCACGTAAAAAAAAAATGCAAGTAGAAAAATAGGGACCACCTTTGGTGGGAAGGTAACAGCGTTCCGTGCGCCTTTGGCGTTTAGTCGTGCCAGCCACATGACCACAGAGATGTCTTTGGATAGCGCTGGCTCTTCGGCTTTGAAACGGAGATGAGCAGCGCCCTCTAGAGTCAGGAATGACTAGCACATATGTGCGAGGGGAACATTTACCTTTACCTTTAACAATTTTAGGCTGACCCCTCTCTTTACTCCTCCCCTGGCTCTGCCAGCCCTTTTCCTACAGTTTATTGCAAGAATGCAAAAGAGGAGGTACCTTCTCTACTCTTTGCTGGCACCTGACACAGCACTGTGAACCCCACCAAAACATAGTAAAAGAGGCCGAAGCAGTAATGTGCAAAATGAATGACCCCTCCAGAATAAATGCTAATGTGAAGACATT